TCTCACTTGTTTTTCTTTAAAACTTATGAATTAGTTTATCTAATTAAAAAATCTTTGAAATTTTCATAGTGATTACATTAAATCTAGAATAACTTAGAATTAACTTTTTAAAATCTGAAGTACAGTAGGCTTTCTAATTGTTCAAATTTTCCTTTGAATCTAAGTTTTTAGTTTTCTTAATTTTGGGGGGGGGGGTTAAGTTCATCTATTTATTACTTTTGGTGAAGGTACTGGGAATTGAACCTGGAACCTCCTGCCTGCTAATTGCATACTGGACCACTGAGCTATACCCCCAACTGAGTTGTTAGTTTTCTTTAGTTTTTAGTTTCTCCTTTCGAGTCTATCTAGTTTAATCATATATATTTCATCTCTTTTGTTCTGAAAAATTTTCTCCTCAACTGCATTCTCTAACTGGTTTTTAAAAGTAATAAATTCAGTACATAAAAATTGTAGTTTTGCATGACTAAAAAGCCACCATGATAAGCAAAATGAGAAGATCTGCGAAAAGTGTGTTTGTACCACATTGAACAAATGGGTAATTTTACTAACACTGAAAGAACTAAAGAAAAGAAAGTGCTGTTCTAGGGAGAGGGTGTAACTCAGTGATGGAGCACATGCTTAGCATGTGCAAGGTCCTTGGTTCAACCCCCAGAACTCCCATTAAATAAATAAATAAATACCCAACTCCTGCCCGCAAAGAAAAAAAAAAAAGAAGAAGAAGAAGAAGAAGAAGAAAAAGCTATTTTGGTTCTCAATTGCTGTGTAAGAAATATTTGAAAAGTTAATGACTTAAAACAACTACCATTTTTTTCAATTCACGATTTTGTTGGTCAAGAATTTGGGCAGGGCTCAGCTGCGTGACTTTTCTGCTTCCGAAGATGCACCTAAGGCCTTGGCATGTGTGTTTGGAAGGCTAGTTCCAGCCGAGTCCCTTTCCGTGTCATGAGCCTCAGGGCCTCACCACACGGTCTCTCTGGTAGAGGAGTGTGCCGTCTTACACGGCGGCCCAGGGCTCCAAGACCCCAAGGCTAAAGCTAGCAGCACCCTTACAGGCCAGCCTGGAACTGGTGTAGGGTTTACTGTACTAGATTCAAGGGCTGGAAAAACAGAGCCCAGCTCTTCATGGGAGGTGTGTTAAAGAACTTGCAGCCATTTTTAATGTGACACAGAGACTCAAAATAAAATTGACGATAGATGTGAACAGTTTATAGGAAAGGAAATACAAATGGTCTTCAAAGTTGGAAAAGATGTCCGACTTCACTCATTGTAAGAGAAATTCAAACTACACTGAGAAATCATTTTCTCTCATTAGATTGGCAAAGGTCAAAAATTTACATTGGTGGCAATGTAAATTATTAAATTTACTTATTAAATTTACTTATTAAATCTACTTCTAGGTATTTAATCCTACAAACAAAAGAAGTTCTTTGTGTCCTGGTATGAAATGATATCCAACACACGGTAAGAGAAAAAGCAAGCTATGATATATCTGAGATTTACTTCAGAATAATCTAAGGGAGCCGGCAGGGCTGGGTCTCAGCTGGGGCAAGCCTAAGGAGACAAATTTAGGGAGCCACGGCCGCACGTGCCAGGTCAACCCGGGAGTGAGCGCCTCCTTAAATTACGCCCAGGCACCGTGCCTACCTCGCCCTAACCCAGTCCTGGGGGCCAGATGGGGCGGGTGGGGTGGGTAGTTGGTATGGGCATAAGTGAAACAGGATTTGTCATGAATTTGTAATTCATAATTTAAAACTTTCATAATAAATATAATAAAAAGCAAGGTGTGCAGTATCATGCTTTGTACATGGCATTACATAGAAATTGTTTCTATGTACCTAAAATAGCTCTGGAATACCTGAGGAACTGGTAAAATGGGGAACTGGGTAGCTGGGGCAGGAGCAGGAGGGAAGATGTTTTTACTCTACATATGCCCTTATATACATTTTAATTTCTAAAATTTTTTATTTTGGGGGAGGTAATTAGGCTTGTTTATTTTTAGAGGAGGCACTGGGGATTGAATCCAGGACCTCGTGCATGCTAAGCATGTGCTCTGTCACTGAGCTATACCCTCCCCACCTTATATACATTTTAAATTTTGAAACTTGAGAATGAACATACTACCAATTCAATAAAGCCAAATAGTGGAACATACTATGACATATGTGTTTCCCTTTTTTCGTTCCAACTAATCATAATGTTCTCGTAAAGTCTGAGATTTTCATGACATTCTCAAGGTATCTGCAAATCACTGGTCCAGAGGGGCATACCCTGAGAGAAGACTCACCTCCAGGCCTTACAAATATTGAAGAGCATCCTTCCCCTCAGCTTAAAGTTTCTTCCATCTCAACCAGAAACCTCACAACTTGTTGAACGGCTATGATTAATGAGATGAGTGCCAAAGAACGGGGCTGGGAAAAGACAGGGGCAGTCTAGCGAAGATCAACAGCCCCTGAAATGGGTCAAGAACTATTTCATCGGTTCAGCAATTTTTATTGAATGCTTTCTGTTATTAGCCGAAGTGTGCCCCCCAAAATCATGTACTGAAGCTCTAAACCCCCAGTGCCGCAGGACGTGACTGTATAGGCTCTTAAAGAAGTAATTAAGGTTAAACAAAGCCATTTGAGTGGGCCCTAATGCAAGGTGACTAGTGCCTTCATAGAAATCAAAGCAGACATGGGCACGCAGAGGAAAGACCCTGTGAGGACGCAGTGAGAAGGGGCCCATTTGCAAACCAAAGAGAAAGGCCTCAAAGGAAACCCAACTAGCCAACACCTTGACCTTAGGCTTCTAGTCTCCAGAAATGTGAGAAAATACATCTCTGTGGTTTAAGCCACCCAGGCTGTGGTATTTTGTTACGGCAACCCTAACAAACGAACGTGCCTTCTATGTGGCAGATTTGTACTGGATGCTGAGAATATGTAGGTTAGTAAGAACCTCTATCTCAAGAGTTTAGGGTGGAGCACATAGCTCAAGTGGTAGCGTGCATGCTTAGCACACACAAGGTCATGGGTTCAATCCCCAGTACTCCTCTAAAAAACAAGTTAATAAACCTAATTACCTCCTCCCCCCAAAACAGTTTATACTCTGCTGGGGAAGATGGACAGGTAAGCAATTTTAAAACAATGAGGGTAAACAAAGATTGTACGTCTAGCGGACAGGTACCAAACCCAGCTGCAGAGAGGGACAAGTGGGTATTTGGAGAGGTAACCTTTAAGTCACGAATGTGTAGGAGTTAGCCAAAGAAAAGAGGAGGAAAGAGACTTCTAGGCAGAAGACAGGCAGCATTAACAAAGCAAAGGGCTCAAGAGAGATGAGTGTATAAGGTTAAGTCCACAGCCAGTAGCTTTGCTGGAGTATAGAGCATGCAGGGTGAGCGGTGGAAGAAGCTGGCACAACAGAGCCTTACATGCTGTGCTAAGGGACCATGTAATTTTGGAGGAGAGGGGAAGGCATTGGATTTTACAAAGCAGAATGACTCGGATTTGCATTTAAAATAGAACCTTCTTTTTTAAAAGATTAGTTTATACATTAGCCAAGAACAGTTGACAGCAAACTGAGAGCAAGAAGGAGACAAGGCAGAGACTTTTCAGAGTACTAATGGGAGGGTCGTAAGTCACCAAGAACAAAACTTTCCTGCTCCATTTGGCTGTTTGCAGCTCAAATCACCTCTTTTGCTAAACTACACAAAGCTCCAGCTCTAACACCTCAAGGGCACCCTCCCCGACCAGGCTGGAACTCAGATTTCTCACTCATCCCCTCTATGGGTAGCAGCATTCATTTAATACTTGCACCCATTCACTCCTTTACTTTTCTCTTGGAAGTATTTCAGATCGAGGCAGGGGTTTGTCTTATAGTCACCTATCCCTGGTGGCCAGCAGTGTTCAATTATGGTTAGAATTAATGATGTCCTAACTTGAGCGTCTTCAAGGGAAGGCAGTCAAAATACTTTGTGGCAGTTAGGCCAATTTATTTCCCTCACATCCTCACAGCTTTTCTAATCTTGACTACCCTCTTTGACCTCTCAAAGCAAAAAAGCAACCTCACTAACCAAGGGTGCCTTCCATCTCGTTTCTCCTTCCCCTTGAAATTCCTCTTCCTCCTTTGAGTGTTCTTCACCCATTCAGTTCCCTATTTCATTTATCTACTCAACAAGCAGCGGTAGTCTTTTATTTGCACATCTTTCATGTGCTGCATTCTTCAGTCTGCTCCTGGGTGTTTCCCTAACTCACTAGGCTGTGGCTTTTACTCTTATCCGAAGACAAATCAGCCACAGAATCTAAAGACCAGAAAGCCAGGAAACAGGCATTACCAAGTTTGAATCCACTGTTTTTCGCTCATCACCATAGACTCACTCTGCAATACCTTTGCAGTTAAATCCAACCAAACCTAAATACTTTATTAATAGGCCCACTAAATCCTGTGACTCCTTTTAAGACACAAATTCTGGATTGCAGTTCTTATTTAGGGCCATTGCTTATTCTCTGTCCGTTTCACCGTGCAACGTTAAGAAAACAGTGTAGTATTTTCTTTGTGCTCATGCCTTTTCACACCTTTTGCCAATTCAAATAAATTGTAGCAGTTTGGAGAATAAATTATTAATCCAATCAGATGTGTAGGTCGTGGAAACTTCCACAGATTGATTGAGCAGCTTTCAAAGATCAGAGTTAAGAAAAAAGAGCTCTTGAAAGGTTCAACGAATCAAACCCAATTGCACATAAAAATGTACTTTCTTATTGTTGTATCTGAACACTACAGTGGAGATAAAAAGCAGCAATCTTCCAGCGCAGTGTAGGATTTAGTGTCCAAGTGGATATGTGAATTAAAAGGCGCATAGTTAAGTACTCAATATACGTTAGCTAGTTTAAAATAGTGTTACACAGCAACTGAAGACCACAGTTCCTGTTGGTCTACTGACAAATTCAAAGCAAATTATCTTAAAACCGCAGAAATATTCTGGCAAAATGAAGCCACAATTTTAGAAAAAGATCGTAGAACTTCGATCAATATAGAAAACAAGCTTTATTTCTGAAACTGTAATTATTAAACATCAGTCATATCTATAGTGGATTCAAAGATCGGTTGAGATGAAAATAAACTACGTTCTGGTCATACAAGAGAGCGGACCCATCGGACTTTGAGGTTAAGGCCAGAACTTAGACTATTTAAAACAAATACATGAGTTGCAAGTTATCTTGAAATTTCTGGCTATGGCTAAATTCTGTAAAATTGGGGCCCTTTTCCTATTAAAATTGAAAACCATCATCTGGGGACTAGTTTTAGACTACTTTTGGAAAAATCTATGTTCTTTGGTAGCTAACAAATTTATATGTATTCCCCTAACAAAAAATTGGCATACTGAAAAAAACTTGGCTTTTCCTGAATTAAAATTTTTATATGCTTGAAAATTCTAAATTGTTGAATCCATTTAAAATCACTTCTAAACTCTCTCTTCAAGAGATTAATAACATTACTTTGTTACAATAATGGCTATGTATCAGTGAAAAAAATCCTCACATATATTTATTCTTACCTAAAGCAGATGCAGCTAAAACTGAGCATATTTGTGGGAAAGTTTGGCCGTGGGTCCTTGTAAAAGGTCTCTAAAGCCAAATAATCTCTGTGAAACTGCATCACTTACACAAGAGGCCAGCAGCATTCTAACTGGGCCTCTACCGAGGCAGATCGCAGGCTGAAGTGATGTATGACCACTTAACTCACAACACCAAGACTTTCCTACACCAGTTTTATTTAAAACACAAATAAGTATTTCTCTTTCTGTAATGGCAAATGGTTCAAATAATGCGGAACATGAATCATTGACTACTACAGGGCTTTAAATATGAAACAAAATCATTTTTTAAAAAGCAAAAGAATAAAGATTATATACAAAAGGGACCTGGAATCTACAAGCTGATTCCAAAAACAAAATGAGTAGAAAACCTGTGGTGAAGTCAGAACACTCCACCCCGGCTTTGGAGAAGGGCTGTTAGACAGCACTCAGTCAGCTGAAGATGGACTGGTAGAGAAGTGTCTATACATAAACTTCAAGTCACTTTTGCTTGTGCAGAATCATCCAGATCTTCCCAAGACTATTGTGGGCAGTCCTGTGGCTTTCTTCCTTTTCCACGTTCTCAACAAGGCTACATGCAGTTCAACTCTTGATGAGCCGCTTACAACAGCAGTTCCTTAGGAGCCAACATGACAGGCGGGTCAGACTTCCCCAAGAGAAACAACACTGGCCACCTACAGCGAAACACCAGAATGGGCAGGTCGCTCCTTCCTCTTCCTGTTGATTATTTACAACAAGTCTCCTTTCAAGACTATAATCCCCATCATGCTTGTTCCTTCTCAAGTAAGTCTAAACCTTGAGGTGATATAAAGGAGACCAACATCAAGAAACGAATATTCAATTAAGAAACGAAGAAAACTGGCAGGTATACAATACACCCCCAGAGCACCCCAACAACCCCGTTCGCAATGCTACAGTCCCCGGACAAGCAGCGGCGGCTTGAGTTCATTCCCGTCCTCAGGCTGCTTAAAGGGCGCCAAATAAATACTGGGCAAGAGGAGTTTGTAGGAGAGTCAGGAACAAAGAATTAACCAATTTTTATTCCTGTGATAATTCAATGCTAGTAGGAGGCAAGTACTGAAGGGACAACTTCCTTATTAAAAAAAAATTCCTGTAATCATTATGTCACTATCTCTTATTAAGAATCCAGGGAATCCCAGAAATAGAAAATTAGTTTCAGAGGACCCCTGAGGCACTTTAAAGCCTTAAAAAAATTACAGTAATAATAAATCAGCTACTGCTCTTCAGAGGCTTACAGAACAGCAGAAGCATGAACATCAGGTCCAAAAAGTTATGTCCAGATTACAGGTTTCCTGAGCCGCTCAGCTGTCTCTGAAAGCTTAGTTGAATCTCCAAATACCTTTTAAAAGACATACAATTTAACACAGACTAGGTGGACTGTTTTGTTTATAGAGGTGGCACGAAATTTGGTCCTTAGTGGTAGCAGCTATCTTCATCCTTTTCAAACTCTGGTAACAACAGGTACAATCAGACAACACATAAAAGAAGTAACACAACAAAGGGGGAAAAAACAAAACTGACGAACACCTCAAGGAGTCACTAAGTTCTCTTGTGTCCTTTCACTTGGGCCTCCCGCTCAGTCTTTCTGTGGAGGGGGGTGAAGACAGAACTTCTTTCTCAAGATGCTAAACAATGGCGTCAAATGGACAAAATGATTATCAAAGGACTTTAAAAATCTGACCCCAAGGAATCCAGACACACAAGGGTAGAGGTATATTTCTGATTTGGGGCAAATTCTAGGCTAAAGAAATGATAATTTTGGATAAATATTACAATAGATGAAACCAAGTCCAATTTTTTGGCGAGTTTTTTTTTGTTTTGAATGTTCTGCTACCACCTTCAGCTGTCAATCATTTCTGACAGCTCAAGCAGAAGGTCATCTTCATCTTTCCCAGGATCCAAGTCAATCTCAGCTTCTAATTTGCCCCCTGAAATCTCCCATATTAGTTTCTCAAAATCATCCTCCATGGAGAGCGGGGGCTTTCCTGCTGAGGCAGAGCTGAGGCGGCGAGTTTTTGTGGCCATCTGGGATGAGGAAGGGCCAGATACTTCTGGTGGGGAGGGATCTGCAGAGGACTGAGTTGGAGGCAGCACAAAACTGTAAGGAAAAAAACCCAAAAAATTATTAGATAACTGCCCTGTCTCAATGGTTGGCTGGACCACCTAGTGTCAGGGACAGAAAGAGTTTTAGCAAAAAAGCTGCTTCTGAGGACACACATAAACAAAGAACTGTTTTACTGATTTGGGACAAAGCATTTTCATCCTTTAAAGGAGAATTCAGACAGATGTTTAAAAATATTTTTTAAAAAATACAGGCAAAATACAAACAACAGAATCAGAGGAGAACAGCAACCCTGAGTACCATGTTTTGTTGCAATTAATTTGAAGTTTAGGACATTTATTTAGATGTGGCTAAATCGTAAGTGCTTCGAATTATTTAGCAGTGTTAGTCTCTAGAGAGCATAAATAATAATAGTGGTCTAAAGTCTGGTTAAAAAGAATTGCAAGGTATTACCTGTCTCTAGGTTTCTCTGTCTCAGGCACAGTGACTGATCTGTCCTCCGAGTGAAGTGGGACCACAGCCTACAACACAAAGAGTGAGGTAATTCCATGGGAGAGTCACGCGTTTTAATTTGAGCATATTCATTTTCTTTTGCTGCCTTCTTAGAATGATGGCTATCACTGTTTAAGCCTGGGAATCCAAAAATAAATAATCCAAAGGTTGAGTGTACAAATAAGCAAAATACCTTGATCAGGCTTAAAAAATCCCATCCTGCCTCTCTGCAAGTGTCTACCTGTAAATACAGTGAAGAACCTAAACAACTAAAATGCTTAGGAAATGACAGAAAATAGTACACATAACACAGACAGAGCTAAAAGAGAATGAACTTCCCTGCTTTCCTACTGCCCAGATGAAGCACACGGAGCTGGATCTACGTCTTACCACAGCTGCCTTTTTGGCTGGGCTTTCCTGCAGGACACTGCTGGAGCTGAGAGGCTTCACAGCTGCAACGACAGCAGGGTGGACCTCCACTGCCTTGC